AAAAAAGTATATGGAAAAATAAAAATCAAGTTTAAGTCATTTTATTCGACTTTACGTCTGTCCGCCACAAATATTGAAGTCGTAATATCACTAGAAAAGCGTTTAAAGCACATAAAATCATATTAAAATATATACATTTACAAGTATGTACTGTATTTACAGTACATGCATTCGTAAATTTAGATTACTTTTTTCTGTACTATATTAAAAACTAAAATTTATTTGTTTGTAAGCTTAAAATAGCTCCTTATTAACCATATATTATATATTATTATAACCATATAAAATAAAATAAAATGCATTAATAAATAAAATACAGAACCGGGAATGGTAATTTATGGTTTAGCCTAGTGACAAGTAGATTTGGAGACAAGTAAATTCGACTTGCATCATTTCTCAACTTACATCGCCTCTCCTGGAACCAATTACTGACGTAAGGCGAGATATACCTGTATTAGTCATTCATTTCCTGGCTATCTTTTAGGTTATAGGTTATTTTAAATTTTTCTTCAAAAAACATATTTATCATTATGTTGGACATTATGTCCAACATAATGATAAATGGAAATGAATGACCAATATGTAAATGGTGTTTTGGGAAATGTTAGGAGTAAAAACAGATTTAAGAAGCCTCTAAATTGAATAGGTAATTTGAAAGAAATTGTATCTTTGAGATGTTTAGTGTATGGAAGATATCCTTTATTCACAAAGAGGTTAAATTGAATTAAAATATGATGTATTTTTAATTGTCATGCTACAGTATATCCCATGAAGTAATGCCGACAAAAGAGGGGCTTGAGCCCAAAACATGTCTTGGCAAATAAAAAATTCCGGAATAAAACTTGATGACAGAATTGCCAAGTGTCTGTATAAACACCTAGTAGTGATAACAAATTATTCAGTATTTTATCTTTCCAATTTAAAAATCGTTGATAAATCACTTCATTACAATTGTTTTTAAATTGGTTTGATTTGGTAGATTTCTTTTAACTGTTAATTATCTGTTCTGAATTAGTTTCCTGTGTTTTTATATTAGTTTCTATATGAAGGAATTTCACAATAATGAATATCTTCATATTTTCATTTAGTAAGATAATACTAATTATTTTTGATATTGTCAGTATTTAGAGTTTGGTTTAATTGATGATAATTTTGCAATATGTTTTTGTTCTTTTATTGATATACATTATCCCAACATAACAAGATTATTCAGGATAACTGATCTACTTAGTTACTTGATAACAAAAACTAAGAAAAAAGTATCCAAATGGATACTTTTTTCTTAGTTTTTTTAGTTTTCTTAGTTCTAAAAATAATAATAAATGAATAATTTTCTGTAAATTTCAGAATATAAGACTATATTTTTAATGATTTTAGTTACTGAAGAGTAAAAAACGTTACTTTAAAATTGTTAATTATTTTTCCAATTAGAAAATTGCTTAAAATTTTTTAATTGGTTTAAAACCCAAAAGTATTTAAAAGTAACTAGATTTATTATTATTTTGATATATTATTATTATTCGTTTGGTTATCCATTAATCTAATCATATTATCCATTTTAAAATTAGATTGGAAGAGAAATATGGATAATATCATAAAATACAGTAGAGCATCGATTATCTGACTCAATTGGGGACTCGGGTTGGTCGGATAACTGAAAAAATTGGATAACCAAAAATAATGAAAAAAATACATTATTAGTATAGTATATTAGTATATCGCTATTAATTAGTTAAATGTAATTAGTATATTAGTATATCGTTAACTTACTTCGCGTTGAATTTTTATTGATGTTAAGCCTAACAAATTTTTTTAAAATAATAATCATCACTATTGTATCATTAAATTTATTTTTAAATTATTTTATTGCTCACAAAACAAACAACTAATCATAATTAGAAAATTAAATCTCATTTAAATACTGTACTGGCTTCCCTTTCATGATTGAGCCAGTGTTGCCAGCTAAAACACGCAAAAATTTAACAAAAATAATATCAAAGTAGCCAAGACATAGCCAAATATTGTAGTGCCACATCACTAGCGGACATTTGAAATTTGCCAACTAGAACGGACAGTTAATCGGGGGTCGGATAATCGATGCTCTACTGTATGTGAATTTTTTTGTATTGATTTGTCTTGCTTTCATATTAAATTTGTAATTATAGCAAATGAGTTTAGTATACATGTTTATTTTAAAGTATTCAGATTGGTCAGATTTAAATTGATTGCCATTTAGTTAATTATTTATTAGAATAAAAATATTTATTATCTGTAGTACATTTAAAGGTAATATAATTAATATAAATACAGCCAATTAATTAATTTCAAAGTCTTTTTTCCATAACTTATAAGATGAATAATTTATCTGTTTATAAATTTTTTTGTATTTGTTTTCATGTGTCAATATGCGTGATTTTATATATACAATGAAAAGATAATTAAATTTATACTGAAAAGAAACTAATTATTTGCAAAGAATATGAAATACAGTAAAATGTGCAAAAGTGTGGAAAATTACATGCAAAATATACTTCTACTTATTGCTGGTCATTTTATCATTACAGTAAAGTTTATTATAATGATTCTCTACCCCCATTTTTTTTTGCTTAACTAACACAATTTTTCTAATACTGTAATTGGTGTTTTCATAGAATCTTCCTTCATATTTTAGTTTTAATTAAATTTCTTTAAGTTAAGGAAAGAATTCAATTGTGATTTAAACTCTAAAAGCAATTTTCTTAGGTTTTTTCTTAAGCCTAGCATTTAGGATTCTAGTAGTGGATCCAACATAAAAGATTTCTTAATTTTTTTTTAATTATTTTGATTTCATAGACTCCACTCTTCTATCAAGTTCTTATCATTCCATAAAATTTAATATAACATACAATTTCTTTTAAAATGCTACTTTTATTCTGTCTTTTTACTAATCCTGCTCCAGAAACCTGCACACTATTGAATTTTAACTTTTTAATTATTTATCACTATTTATTTTTACATTCTTTATACAATAAATAATGTTAAAAAGAATGCAATTGGTAAATATGATATAAAACTTATGTAAATTTTTTTACCAGAAAATATTTATATGAAAGAAAGACTAATAATTTGCGAGTACCTTATTTTGTAAAAGAAAACTTTGGAAGTGAATATCAAGGAAGTATTCGTCGAATAGAAAGCCAAGTAGAAGAAGAATATATAACTAATTTAAGAGCATCCTGTTTCAGGGAAAGAAATTATAGTAAGTTTATTGAAAATGTTTTATTTTGATATTATTAGTATCATACTTAATATTACTTAATATTACTTAATTTATTTTGTTTAATAGAAGAAAGTATGATATGGAGAGCCAGAAATTTCAGAGATCGAGAATTAGAAGAAAAAGCCAGGAGTCTGAGAACGCCATCTTGTCAGACATTAAATGACTTGTATACTGATAAAGGATGGTGAAAGTGTTTGAGTATATCCTTTAACATTACGATTGAAACTGCATTTCCCATGGACTTTAAGGAAAGCTACTTTATTTTAATCTTAAACCTATTTTACTTAAACTAGTTTTATTAATGTAGCTGTCCTCATTACATTCTCTAAAAAAATTATTGAAATCTTTTGCACCAATTTTAGTTTCATTGAATTAAATAAGCACACTTCCTCAATTTCCCATACAAAATAATCTCTAGAGATAAATTTTCAGGTTCTAGCTTTGTACTATTTTGCTTGGACAATGGACAATTGTAATTTCTTGTTATGTGAGTTCCATGGTGAATATGTGTAATGCAGATTTTTGTAAAAGATAATTGCACATAGAATATCATTATTATTATTATTATTATTGTATGAAATCTTGTAAATTATTGTGAATTCTTAATTCAATCATTTTACAGTTGAAAATATATAATATATAATAGGAATGTTTCTGTTATATTTTCTGAACCCTTAAATTCATTTAAGGTGTTAGCTCATTTATTATATTGGGAATGTGTACAGAGAAATTCAACTTTTGGTACCAGTCATAGCTATGCTTCTGTCCAATGTTATAAAAAAATTGTTAAAATGGAGAATCTCTACAGGATGTTTGAATTTAATAATATATTAACCTTGTTGTTGTTAAATGAAAATCTGGTTTTGTAATAAAAGCAAAGGCGTGAATATAATTTAATTTACATAAAATACTGCACTCATATTTCAACACGTACTACTTATTGGATATTTATTTTATTATTTTCCATTTTAAAATTAAAAAACTAAGAGTAAATAGAACAGATATTTAATTGGCTTAATTTTTTCACATTTGTATATTCTGTATAAAAAAAAAAAATAGACAATAAAATGACTTGCTACATTTTCCTAGAAATGTATGTAAATATATATATAAAGTATGTTTTTATAATTCATCAGCTTGTTTGAGCCTTCTTAGTTTGTAATATTTAAAAAGAAAAACAACAAAAAAAAAGGAGAACAATAATGTGAAGTTTGCCAGTTGCTGTGAGAAGTATATCTGAAGTATGAAAATTGTAAAAAAAATTTTGTAAATGTTCTGTCGTATTATAGCTTAATGTTTTTACAATAATAATATACAAAAAAAAAAATACAATAATATATCATACATTTTGAGTTTTTACAAGTTAGGACTTGTATCCTCAGAGAATTTGTGATATAACCATTTTTAAAGTTTTTCTTTGGTGCATTTAATCTGCCTTTTTATTTGATATATTGGTAAAACTAATTGGGAATCATTAAGTATGAAAATAATTCATTTTGGACTTTTAAAGTTTACATAATCATAGGAAATGGAATATATTTTGTTAACAGTTTTCATTAATTATAAAAAAAAAACAACAACAAAGTGCTTTAAATACAAAATTTGTAAGAACTGTAAAAGCTCCATGTCTTTGTGGACAAGATAATGTACTGTAAATCATCAAATTGGTTTTACTTTAAAAAATCAATAATGCAAAAGTACTGTAAATACAGTTAACACAGGAACAATTCACCAACACAAGAGCAAAAAAACAGAGAAGCTTTGCACTAGTTAAAAAAAAAAATGAATTCATAAAATTCAAATAGAAAATTTAATTGGTATATGTATTTAAAATTGTGTATTTATTTATTTTTTTCTTTTTTTTTGTCTTTTGTTAAAAATTTTCACTGTCAAATTTTCATAGAATAAATGGTTATAATGTAAAGCAATGAGTTTATACATTTCCAATAAATCAGATTATAATTTTCAAAATGTAATTAATTTTTAAAAAAAAAGTTTTCTTTTTAATTGAAAAGTTTACTTATATGCCTTACGGGTGAATGATTTTTATTAAAAAGTGAGAAATAAAAACTGATTTAGTTTTATTTAATGTTGCATTTTGTAAGTTTTCAATATACAGTAATTAGATTCAAGATATAAAACAGATCAAGCAATGTCAATTGTGATACTGCATACTTATTTTGATATGGCATCATTATAATAATCATATTTTATATTAGATCTTATAATTATGTTATTTTTATTTAAAGTAATCTAATTATTTTACCATTATTTAAAGAATTATATTGTTAATGATTGTAAATTGTAGATTTTACAAAAAAAGAAACTGATTATATCTCCATTTATTAACTACAGTTGACATAACTCTTATTCATTGTCAATTCTGACTGTGCTTTACTATATTGAGTTTACAATCAGATAAAGTGACTAGTTTTTCTCTCACTGGGAAATGTTGAGGAATTTCGTAAGTCAAAAACATTTCAAACAGTCGGAGTCCACTTACCAGAGTATGGGATAATAGATCAGTTAGTTTAAATGAGTGCCGTGTCGACGGCATTTTTTTTAGAGCAGAGTCTGCATAAGATAATAGTTTTAAGGAAAATTTATAAGGGTCTATCTTTAACCTAATGTACTGTACGTCATTGCCTAGGCACGTGGCGACAGATATTAAAACTGACATGTTATATGGGGATTTGATGAAACATTGAAACATTCCATTGGTCAGTCGTCTAAGGAACAGATTTTATTGGACACGATTTTCGTATTAAAAAGTATAAAGTATGTGTGGAGAAACCGTGCAGGTCACACACACGTCCATACTAAAAAGATAAGGCAAAAGTGATTAGAGACCATATATCGAAAGTCACATGATCTTACTTTAAAGCTGTACTGTAGGCTACTTATTTCTTTTTATACTGTACGCAACATACAGTATAAAAAACAAATAAAAACATTGATAGAAAGCATTCAGAAATTTTGGAGCAAGTTATATGTGTTCGTTCACATCTTTTCAGTTAGGCTGCCGCCTGTACTCCTACAAGAAGAAATGTAACTGGTAAATATATTGTAGTCTGTATTTACTGATTATAGAACAATAACATTAATCATATACTGTAAGAATTGAAAACAATACAGTAAAATTTGGTATTCGATATCGATATCAAACTTTTGGTTCAGCACAGCCCGAAACTGTTAACCTAATACCAGGTCTAGTCTCTAAATTTGGTATTTTTCGGGGTGGTCCGATTCTCATATCCGAATCGCTCCATTGTGGACCTGACCGATAGAAAGGTTTGATATAGGTTTTATAGGTTTTATAGGTTTGATGGAAAGGTTTTATAGGTTTGATGGAAAGGTCCTCTTAGTGCTCACGGGGCGGAAAGAATTAAGGGGGGGAAACGTTTTGCGATTCTATGTTGCGTAAGCTGTTAGGGTAATGGTTTTGTTCGAAATTTTTCAAATTACTCCGTTACGATTTAATTTCATTTGTATCGATAAATTTATATACTCTCCAGTTTTAGTTTCATCGTCTACGGGATGACGTAAGCTATCGTCTTATTGATTGAATTCTATTCTTGCTGCTTATCGTGTAGTAAAAACAGTGGTATGGTGATACATTTTTAACAACTGCCCCGTTTCAGGTGCAGGGAGAAAGAAAAGGGATGAACAGGTGTAAAATTTCTAGAAATCCATTTTTAAACTATTTTTTCGTGTATATACCTATATGTTAAAAATGTTTTGGAATCCTTCTTAAAACAAATGTTTATAATAAAACAAAATTTAACGCTTATTTTTTATTTAACATATTTCCATGTACAAATAAAATTTTACTTAGAAGTTAGAGTTGTTTGTAAAATTTAACTTCAAAGTGTAATGAAAAACAAAATTATAATAAGTTCCAAACGGCAATTTGTTCGCACTAAAAGTCTCCGATTTATGGCGTATTCTAATGTCAGTAGCCAAGCTATGGTTCGTATTTAACCACGTTTAGGTTAAATACGAACAATAGATTTGCCACTGACATTAAAAAGTTTAGCGTCTCAATCTTTTTTTTTTTTTTACTAAATTGATTGTCATAAATTCAGATTTGTTTCACATTTTTCATTTTTGCAAATATTACATTCATTAATCTCATCATCTGCGCTACTAATTACTATGATGATAATTTTTTTTCTAGCTTTTTCTATTGTTTCAGGAACTGATGCAGTTTTTCCTCTATATTGTTATCCTACAAAATCTTTGAAATCATCTTTATTTATATTGAATTCCAAAACTTCAACTAATCGACCTAATTTTCTTTTACCTTCCATTCACGGTGAAGTTAGTTCTTTATGGGGCCAAATGGATTCGTGCAATAAATCAAGTAGTTTAACCAATCAACAGTCGGTAATCTACACTTGAATTTATTTCTAAACGTGTTTATTCGTTTTTAATATTTCTTTTTTCATTCAGGAGGAAAAGACAAGAAAAATTTTCCTGAATTCAGTTCCGTATAATTCAGAACAGAGATCATATTTTTATTGTTTTCAAAAACATAAATAGAAGTCAGGCTTTTAATATGTAAAACACTGTTTATTCTTCATCATCTAGCCATTCATCAAGAATTTTAACAACCAGATCGCTAAATTTTAAGAATTGTAACAACCGGCTCTCTCGAGCCGGATCCAACACATCACTGGATAAAAGTCCAGTTTGGTTCGCCCATGAACAAATTCGTTTTTTGAAAAATGACCCGGAATTCCGTCATAGTAAGAATCAGACCGGATTTAGTCTCTGATTTTACACGAATTTATAAACACGATAGTACAAACAATAGACCGGATGGCCGAGCGGTCAAGGTGGCAGCCTACCGCTCTGGGGACCCGGAATCTAATCCGGACGGGTCGAAAAATACCCAGGAATTTTTCGGAGGGGTAATCCGATCGAATATGTCGGCCCCCGTCCCTCACCACCCGTTCCATTGCGGGCCTGGCCAACCCATAATGGGCTTACTATAAGAGGCCCACCTAGTGACCGCAGGGCGGAAGGAGCAAAAAAAAAAAAAAACTACAATCAATCAATAGTATTAGTGATGTGCCGGGTATCCGTATCCGCGGATATCCGAGGGAAAAAAAATCCGTATCCGTTACTTTTTAGCGGATCTTTAACGGATCTTTTATCTTAATGAATTTCATTACTTATATGAAATTTTAAAGATAGGTAGCAATAGCACATTCGTCGTTTACTATCGTAAAATATTTCCATATTACACTACTAAACTTTTTTGTCGACATTGTTTTTATTTTAATTTAACTCAACACTCTCCAAAAACACAAACGTAATCTACGCTATCCCGTGTCACACTAGCCACAAACCAGTGTTTCCCAACGTGGGGCCCACGCCCCACAGGGGGCAATTGGATTGCTAAGGAGGGCAATTCGAAAATGGACTTGTCCAGAGTTTAAGTTAACCGTATAGCCGCTGTATATGTTAGGGAGACATAAGAATTTTAGAAAGGCTTAGGTGGGGCATAGCACAAAAAAGGTTGGGAAACACTGCACTAAACTATTGTGGCGGTACGCTATATTTTTGTAAATATTAATTTTAGTTTAGTTTCGTTTCTTCTTTCTACCCTTTGTTCTATTGTTCTATTTTCTTCTAGAACTTTCTTATCTATTCCCTGTCCCTTGGGTGGGATGAGCAGTTCCTAGAAATTTGAGGAGCAAAGGTGTAAGCAGGAGCCGGAGAAAAAAGAGAAGTGACGTAGCAGGTCATTCCTAAACCGGACGGCAGAGTGTACGGACGAGGTGAGAATACTGGGAGTCGTATTTTCAATGACCGGATAGTTCAGAAATAAGTTCAGGAAAAAGATCATGTTTTAAGATCGTATTGACGACTATGGAAGGAAAAAATCCTAATTATTGTAGAAGAGAAGTGGCCAGTTATAGGAGAAGAACGTGTGTTATCCCACCCAATAGTACGCATAAAGAAACAAGCCGAAAAAAGGGACAAAACCCCAAATATCCCTATTTCTATCTTATCTACCATTTTTTCTGTCTTCTTAATTCTATTCCTTTTTCTGTTATTAGTCTTAAGTTAGTGTTTAAGGTTGGTTTTAAGGTTCCGGGTTATATTGTCGCGATCGGGATCTGTATTGTGCACGTGCTTTGGATACAGCGAACTATTATTATCGCTGTAATTTCGCATGCTACTGTTTGCACCGTGAAGTTGGAATCCCCCGAAATAGAATCTGTTTAAAGACGCGAAATAGCTTAATTGGAAAATTATATCAACTTTTGTTACTTTATCCTGTCTGCCTTTGTGGTGAATTCTAATTTATCACACTTTCACACTATAAAGACGCGAAATAGCTTAATTGGAAAATTATATCAACTTTTGTTACTTTATCCTGTCTGCCTTTGTGGTGAATTCTAATTTAGCACACTTTCACACTATAAACAAAAACACGCGCGGTGCAAGTCAAAACACGTCGCGTTATTAACGCAAAGCGTCAACTATCGGTCCAAGGTCACACGGACCGGCGCCGACTGAGTACGAAAGTAGAGATCCGTATCCGCGGATATACATTTTTAACGATCCGGCACATCACTAAATAGTATATCATACGCAAAAAATGAAAATTAGGCTTTTCACGAAGATAAAATAATTATTACACTAGTAGCAGCAAATGTTATAAGTTGATCATTTCTACTTTATTTCTGAAACGAACATTGTAATGTTTGTTTATAAATTTTATTAATTTCGTAGATAAACAATTACTATAAAAGATTGTTAAAGAAGCGTTAAAAAGTTTAGTTCATTTTTACTTTTCTGATTGTTACAGGCCTAAATGACAAAAGGAAAAATATATGGCGTATAGGAGTATGGCGATCGGGAAAAAAACGATATTTTTGGTCTCAGGGTTCCTTGAAACATCGAGAAATGCAAAAATTTCTGAGTTTTTTTGTATGTATGCATGTTAGTGTATGTGTGGGGACACAATTTTGTTTGTCCTCTTTGAAGCTTAATAACTCCTGTGTCTTTTGAAGAAAATTTCTGAAATTTTTCATGGTTTGTATATTAGAGAATTGACGCTATTGAATTTTGGTGTTAAAGTCGAGATAGTGGAGAGAGATATAGAGGTTTGTGTGTATCATATCTCGACTAGGGTTCGGACTTAATGAATATTTTACTCATTATTAGTCTTAACAATTTTGTTTATAAATAAAACTCATCCCTACTTTCAAAATTAAGTTTTTAGTCATTTTATAGTAATTAAATATATTAAAAGTTTTCAAAATAAAATATCGTAATAGATGGCGCTACACGCAGTTCTAAATGTTGCTGGGAAAGTTACTCAACTCGGTGGATTTTTTAAAATGTCATATATTATGTGTGTAGTTTTATACTAATCTAATGTAAGTCATGTCATTCATTGATGAAAAGAAAAAAAATTAATAGAAACAATAAATACGAATAGCCAAAAATATAACTATACAGTACTAGAAAATAAGTATAATTAACTTTTATTAAAATGTATTATTATAAATATACTCCTGAAAATCCTTAATATATACATGACTGCAGAAAATAAAGAATTTGAAGTAAATGTATGCAGGACATTCTTATAATAATAAATTTAATTAAAATAAAAAGCAAATTTTGGGTATGAAATAATGTGATACGTGTAAAAAATGTATGTTCTATTTTTCATAAAAATTTACTCTTAGATCTAAAAGCCAAGAGTAAAGAATAATAGATTATTTTATTATTATAATTCAAAATAGGATTTTAAATATCAAAGATATATTTTCAGGAGTTACATTTGAAGTATAAAGTATTGTTATTTATCGATACTAAAATAGTAAAAGTTCACTGAAAAATATATTTGGAAAATCAGGGAAAACCTGAACAAGTCAGGGAATTTAAGAGTTGAGTAAAAGGGGAACCCTGTTTTACAAGGCATGACGGATTTAGTTGAATATATTACAGTACTAGTTTCGAAATGAGATCAAGATAGTATTTTTATTTATGTTCTTATAGGCCTATGTTACTGATATGTAAATAGAAGAATGACGATGTTAAAAGTTATCGAAATATTGGCAAGTGGTATAATTTGCAGATTATCGATCATTGTTCTATGGGTTCTTCGGTAAAAGAAATTAAAAGTGAATAATAATCAAAAAACAATCAGGACTTTATTATTTTGAATTAATATGGTTAGCATTGCATCTTCTAAGAAGTTTATACAATTCTGATCTGTGAAAAATTAATGTGCTTAAAAATCCTAACCAATCTCTAACTCCGGAGAAAACGTGCCATGGCCTACTCACTTTTTCTTTGCTAAAAATCAAGAAAATTTAAAATGTACTTCAGAAATACAAGCTTATATACAGGCTATATACACTGTATATCTAACGTAAACTAGTTATATATTCATTTAAAAATGGCCGACGTTTCATTTACATTGTAAAAATATAATGAAGAATACAAATTTTTTTTTTGTATTCTTCATTATATTTTCACCATAGTTATATATTTAAATTTCTATGTGGAAAAAAACAGGGATTGTTTCAGGGCTTAATAATAAATATATAAATTTAATTTAATATTTTTAAACTAGCTCTGGGTTCTCACTAAAAGTTTCTTCCACGGCTCTTGTGTTGCATTCAAACAGAATCAATTTAGATTAGAAATATTTCTAAGGATACTTAAGACATGAACATTAGGAAAAAAAATTTGGTTTAGATAAATTCATGGTAATAGAATTTAAGTTTTGAATACTGTAATCAATTATTACAGATCAAAATAGTTTGTGAATGATCCATTACAAATAATACCTTTATTGGTGTGAAATTATTAATAGTTTAGGAATTGACCCATATTTCTAAAACAGAATTAATTTAAATTATTACGATAAGAACAATTTGAACATACTTTGTTTCATTTTTAATGGAATTTTATAAATGGCTAAAGGCTACGTGTCTTTTTAATCGAAATTTTAGTCTGCCTGAATTCATTTTCATTCAGGAATTAGGTCGAATCACATAAAAATAGGCCTCCGATTTTTGAAATTTTTAGTGAGGCTATAATTATCACGAAAGTGGCACGAATATTATGTATATATTAGTACGAAATTAATAGCTTAAGATGGCTTATACAAAATGCATATCGTTGAGATTTAGTCTATTTTTGAGGCTATATTTAGTGGGAACCCAGAGCTAGTTTAATTAAAAATATGAGTTCGAGTTGTCACATTTTTCGATAGTAGATCGCAAAAATAGTAAAATGTGATTGTTTGTAGGCGCGTAAAAGTACAATAAAATCAATAAAATATTTATAGTATTTTTTAAAAGTACCGTAGTTAAAAATATTTTTTAGGGATGTAAAATTTAAATTGAACATTTGAAATTAAGTTTCGACCTTTATTTTTAGGTTATTCATCCATATGTTTTTAAGGTTCTTTGCACCGTTTTCAATAATAATGGTCACAGATTATTTTGACTTAGGAAAATAATTAATATAATAATTGTGAAAATCTATGCATCGGCATTGTTGTACTTTGTTGTTTGCACGTTGTTTTCACTGGCAGTTTCAAATTTAACGACTTCTTTGTAAGTATGGTATGATCATCTATCTTCTGTTTTATGATTATACAGTTCTATAATACGTCAACAGTTGGACTCAATCAAAATCTTGACCAAAAATTAAAAAATATCAAAAGGAAAGGTTATGTCGTCCTTGTATGGCTTTGAACCGAAAGAAAATTAATGTCTAGTGCTTGATTCAAAACATCCGAATATAGGGAATTATGAACCAACGGACTACACAACCAGTAGTAAAGAAATATAGAAATGTTATATATATATTTTTATTACAAATATTTTAAAAGGTTCTAATGATGAATTTATATCATGGCACCTTAAACGATATTCTACGGCAGATAAAAGAACATGACATTTTCTATTATTTATAAAGATCATTTTCATCATCACTACTGTATCATCAAAACATTTGTTCTGGTGAGTGTAACTGTGGAACAACATGATCGATTCACAAAAATTGAATATATGGTTTATTCCTGATATTAGTAATATTATTTTGCCTTTGTATATGCAACATTTATAGCTGATAGATGCGTCTATTAACTATAGGAAGGCTTTCAAAATGTTCCAAAAAAGAACAACTTTTATTTAACAATCCTTTACGAAAATTGCCTAATATTGCAAAATAATCTTGTAGTCAGCCATATGATGTTGTTTTCCAAAAATATTTGATGATGAAGTGTAATCTCATGAATCGTGAATTTGAAGATTACGCCCAAATTATCAAATTAATTTTTTCAATATCAGAAATAATAAAAGAAAAACCTATTAAGAATTTAAAATAAACTTCAATAAATAGTAAAATTTATATTTTGAAGATTGTATTGAAGTTTTTGGATGATAGAAGATTTTAAAAAATCTACAATTATTGATTGTTATTTTTCCATAGTCTTATTTGCATAAAAATTTATTTTCAGAAAAATTAAAAAGATTAGCTTATATATACAGTAACAATGTTTTTTTATTTAAAATAAATATAATAGATTAAATAGTGACTTAAACTTAGTAATTGCCAATTATAGATTAATTGTATGTCATAAATTAACTCTAACTCTTTCTTTCATGCATAATTTTGTGAATTCGGAAACTGATTCAAAAATTAGAAAAAATTTCTTATTCAGCTCTAAAACGACATTAAATAAATTTAATTTTCAGTATAAAAAGTCCTCAAACTTTTTATACTGTCGACTCCTTTAAGGATTCCTCGACATTTTATCGACCACCTTCTTTTTCTTAATACAGTTAATAATAAATAAATAAATCTGATGAGTTCGTATTAATCCACAAGTCGTTTTCATAGAAAAAATCTACTTACAGTATGAATATTTTTACTATTTTTTTGACTATTTCTGAATTTATAAAGTAATGNAATTTTAATACATGAACATTGGGACTAGTGTTCGAATATTTGAATTCGAACACTAGTCATTCGTTAAATTTCGCACTAATTACCGAGCAACAGATAAGTAAAATGAAATTTAACAAATAATTGTATTAACGAGTTAAAAAATAGTCCAAGTTCAAAACTGTCAGTTTTTCAAAACCCAGAAATAACTTTTACTTCTTTTAGTGAGTGAATAACTTAACTTCAGATTGATGGTGACAACAAATAAGTTATTCTAAGCAACATTATGGTTGTAATGAAAATGCCTTGAAGCCAAAAAGAGTATGACCAAAAATGTGATTTGGACTTAAACCATTCTTTCACTAAATTGTTTTTATGCTTATTTTTATTAATAAAAACGTTTCTTTCTAAGATTTATAAGGTAAATAACAAAGTATCAATTTTTAAAAATTGTTTTATTTATTTTCTTTAGCTTATATTAGTCTCCAGGAAATACTGTATGATGGTAAAACTAACTGCTCTCTGTTTAGATCAAAGGGTCCTCAAACTTTTTATACTGTCGACTCCTTTAAGGATTCCTCGACATTTTATCGACCACCTTCTTTTTCTTAATACAGTTAATAATAAATAAATAAATCTGATGAGTTCGTATTAATCCACAAGTCGTTTTCATAGAAAAAATCTACTTACAGTATGAATATTTTTACTATTTTTTTGACTATTTCTGAATTTATAAAGTAATGCATAAAATAGATTATTTACTTGTATATTTGTATATTTGATATATATTACGAGTTAGCTCAAGTGTCAAATACTTGAAAATTATTAGTTTAAGTCATTACTCTTTATATTATTTCTATAACTAGTATGATTTTTGAATAACTAGTTAAAAATTTGAATCTGAAGACTTTAATGTAATGAAATGAATAACCGAATTAAATCTTTAATATCTTAATTTTTTTATTATATATTATATATCAGTAACCTCTGGTTACATTAGAATCAAATTGAAAAATATTGACTTCAACAATAATTATGAGTTTTAAGATATAGATTTGAAGCAATCTATTTTATAATAGTTATGTATAAGCTAAGTGTAATTTAATAACTGTTAAATCAAGTATTAACTAATAAACTATATATTTTTTTTCTCATAATGTGCATCAAGAAGACAAAAAACTAGTAATTTCTACTAATAAAAGTCGCATCGTTCTGTCAAATAACATGATAAACATTGTTAGGAATATTTTAAATTATCCCAAATCTATCAAATTTGCGTAATTTTCTTTAATATATATAT